CTCAGCGTTCACACTCAGGCTGGCGACGAAACACTGCAGAGAATTGAAGAATATATACTTCATAGGCCGGGTGGAGCTATTTACTCGCTTGCCAAAGGTGGCAAGACGTGATGCAAGGTCTTTTATTAAACATAGTTCAATCGACAGACCAATCAACAACTTACCAAATCTACTGTCACCTGGCATTGATATCCCAATGAACCTTCCAATTTAGGCCCATGGGGATGGTGCTACTGCAGAGTTTCCATTTTCTTGATGAGGCGCCTTTGCCGTTGTTTAACATGAGAATAGATATCTCTTAATTATCTCGCAAAGGTGATGATCAAAAACACAGCAGAGAAGTGAACAGATACTTCACTTTGATCCCAGACGAAAAATATACTGTTTGCAAAGTAGTGATTTCCTAAACCACCATGTTGACTGAAATTTAGGGATAATAACAAAAGGTATATTTCTGTCGGTCAAAAATTGTTCATTTTGATATACCTTTAGGAAACAGCTGTAGAGAGCGACAAGAAACGGCTTTGGAGATGTAAAGACGATTAAAAGAATTTTACAAAATATTTTATTGTACACTAGAGGTAGAAACGCTAAGAATCAGTTACAGAGTCGGCTGCTAAAAATAAGTTGGTTTTCTCTTTCTTCCTCGCTATAACCTATCTTTTTTTATCAATGATGTTCACTCTGTGCAATGTCAAGACGACACTCGGTCTAGAGAGTTTCAGAGTAAGGGGCATTATTACACTAAGCAGGGAAATAATGTATATATACAAAAGAAACTGAACACCTCTTTTTGGAAAACTCCTAGAGGCCCTAATCAATGTTGAATTGATCCATCGTCTCACATCACAGGACTATTTATTTCCTACAAGCAACATGGCTTTAATTTCTTCAGATCAACAGCTGATGACTTAATAATTGCTGAAATAATCTATAATGGTCTACATAAAAACCGTGAACCCTGCCTGTAGCACTAGGCATCCTGAAAGTCTTTGACAAGGTTTAGTATTGAGGTGTTCTCCACAAGCTGAAAAGCGATGGTGTCTCCGGCCATATTTTTGAACTGATCCAGCCTTTCCTATCAAATCTTGAAATGAAAGTTATTTTGAACGGCCGCTTGTCCAGATCCTTCCACGTGTGTTGTCCTGTGTATTTAATTTTCATGGGGTTCAAATGTTTAATATCAAGGGTTATTAAAATGGGCTTAATAAATAAACGGAGCGTCTACCCACCGTACAGTGTACACACACACACACATATATATATATATATATATATATATATATATATATATATATATATATATATATATATATATATATATGAAAAAACACTAATATTCCATAGTTATAATTTATTCCATTGGAATCGTAAATACGATCCAATTCATCAGACCTACAAATTTGTAGGTCTGATGAATTGAATCATATTCACGATTCCAATAAATTATGACCATGGAATATTAGTGTTTCTTTTTATTATATCCTTACTCTGTCGTGGACATTGAGTTCTACCTGGATTCTATACTCTTGAATATTTTATTCAATAAATATACATGTATGTGTATGCACCTATGCATATATATTTATATATTTTGCATATGTATGTGTATATTTACCACTAATATTATATATATATATATATATATATATATATATATATATATATATATATATATATAAGGATGTATGTAAAAAAATGGATGTATCAAAATGATTACTAAATTGCTTTTGTGTATATGTACATAAACATATGTATAATTTCTATGCCTTTCACTCACAATACAAACACACAGACTCACAAACATACACACACACACGCATAAGCACACACATTGGAAGAGATACGTTCACCTATCGTCCAGTTCAGCTTCCTCTCCGTTCTTTTGAACAGGATCAGCGTTTCATCCCGTGTTTTCTCTTTAGGACCGGGTCTCGTTCTTTTTATTTCCAGTAGAGCCCTGTCTCTTAGTACCATTATCGCCTTGTTTGGAGTGAAACGAGTGATCTATATATGCTAGTGTATATCATTGCTTGGAAATCATCCATGTAAACAATAACAGTCTATCATCACTGTCTTGTCCGTATATTGCTTAATATATTGTACAGTAATTGACATCTTTGATAATGGCTTATGTAAGCCAAAAGCTTAGATTGGATTAAAAATATGTATCAATATTGTTATTTTCTTTCTTCATTTAATGATAATGTTATTAAGCTTATCAGACGTTATGAAATGAATTTACATATTATAAAATATAATATATATATATATATATATATATATATATATATATATATATATATATAAAGAAATATAGTCTTAAGGTGTGCTATATTTATGGGATAAAGTGCTCAATATCAGAGATAGAGCGTGTGTAAATATAAAAGTGAACATAGAAGTCAACACTTAGAGGCGACAGTCTGTTTCATGCTATATGCCCTGACGATGGCATATAGCATGACGATATATGCTCTTATATATATATATATATATATATATATATATATATATATATATATATATATATATATATATATATATATATATATATATATATATATATATATATATATATATATATATATATATATATATATATATATTTCAGGATATTTTCATTCAAACATGTTTGGTTGTAGGAGGCACGGTGGAGTAATGGATAGCGGCTTGGATTGAGGAATCGGAGAGCCGAGTTCGAATTCCAGTCGAATCCATTACATTCACTTACGTGCTAAGACCCTTGGGAAAGGTGTGAACCCTCTAGCTATGGGTAAATAGCAGGACAGACTGGGTTCTATAGCCTTGGATGGCAACTGGTCTAGGAGAAGGAAAAACTCTGAATTCAAAAGCTGCTCTTAGATGAGGGTGAATGGAGTCTCTCTGAGCCTTGGTTGGCAATCCATTTACTGATGGTGTAACGATAAAAAACACCCTTGATATCCCTAGCGAAGCATCAAGAATTCAGCTATTTGACAAGATTATGAACTACACCAATCTGAGGCCGCAAGATGATGATGATTGGTTAAATAATTTAGACATATTATGAGTATTTATTTTGGTTTAGATCCTTTCAAGTCCACGCATTAATTTCTTGGTGGCTGTCTAAAACTGATTAAGAAAAATCCCCAAAACTATTCTTGCAAATAATTTTTATATTCTCATGAATTTTCAATGTGATCTGAGACCATCTTCAGGGAGTTAAAGTCTGTGAATGTGTATACGTATTTCTGTAAATTCAAACCATTTTTACAGTTCGTTTTACTGTGCTATGCAGCATTACAGATTTTAAATTCAAAAATTACGTTGATAATTTTCGCCACAGTAAATTTTTTATTTTAATTTTAATTATATATATATATATATATATATATATATATATAATTTTTGTTTTATATATATATATATACATATATTGTCGTCCACAGACTGTTTCGCGGTAGCAAAGCTCATCAGTGTGACTACGCATCCGATACCTAAATAAATGTATAATTTTAAAACAGCTACAAAACTTCAGTTCTAACTTAGATTATAATGTAAATAATTACAGATGTTTTGGAATTTGGGCCAAAATAATAAATGTATAATAGTAGCAACGATTTGATTGGTTATTCATTGCAAGGCAGACATTTGGGTTGAAGGCATATATTTGTGTTTTAAGGAGAATCAGACCGACTTTATGATTTTTGTGTCTGTGTGAGATCTATATTTTTAAGTGGGTCGATAGAATTCGTTCTCTTTTGATTCAGCTGTCGCGTCGGGGTCTTAGTCAGGTTACCTATACCATTTCTCATATTTGTTTTACTGCGTTGCGTTTATTTGTAATCAATAAAAGAGTGCATATATAATATATATATATATATATATATATATATATATATATATATATATATATATATACATGTGTGTGTGTGCGTGCTTATTTATTGAGAAATATACACACTTAGACAAGCATATAATAAATTTATAAAAACGCACTTTTTTATTGGGTTTACCTTTATTTAATTTGTAATCAACAAAAGTATATATATATACATATATATATATATATATATATATATATATATATATATATATATACTTTGATTTGTAATCAATAAATATATATATATATATATATATATACACACACACACACACACACATATATATATATATATATATATATATATATATATATATATATATATATATGCATATATATTCATTTATGTAGCACTCACACACTCACCCCACACATATACACAAAAACACACACATATCTATAGTAAATTTATAAAAGTGCACTTTTAATTTACTGGGATGTATATTTTATTAGGAATAAATAAAATAAAATATATAAATATATATATATATATATATATATATATATATATATATATATATATATATATATATATATATATATTAAAAGAATATCAAATACTCAAAATGCCATAAAATCTATGCGCTTTAAGTGTTTGATATTCTTTAATTAATATCAATTTTGCTTTGTCGTTTGACATAGAGTTTCACCCTGGATCTATATCCTCCTGGAAATTCTACACGGATTACCATATTTTATCATATATATATATATATATATATATATATATATAACGAGCGAGAGAGTTAGAAACTGACACATTGAGAAAGATTAGTTTATACTGATGTTTGAAAACCACTCAAAGTAGAACCTTCCTCTTAATATTATTATGATGATTATGGAGAGTTATATGAATAAAAGATATGGTAAGAGGTAAAGACTATATGCATTAGGAGGAATAGACAATGATTGACCCCTGTCTTGAGGTTATATTCCGTAAAGTACACCAACGGGATTCTCTTCTAAAGATTGGCTTATTTTCGGTGGTAAAACCTGCCTGAGTGGAAAGTTCTTATTAATGATGGAATACGAATTGGAGAAATGGAAGTTGACTCGACTCAATGGAAGTAGCATAACCAATCCTAATTAATACAGGCCGTCTGAATATTTGCCATGTAAATAGTTATAAAGTAACGATGTGCTTGTGAATCTTCATCAGTAGGAAAGAGGCTGTAAAATAGATAGATAGATAGATAGATAGATAGATAGATAGATAGATAGACGTAGCTTGTCAATTTTAACGCCTCCAGTCTCTATCAATCTTCTGAGAGACATTCTACCTTACATCAGCATGGCTGGTGCTAAGCTCCAGGGAAATGACACGCTGTACCCCCTTGGGTAAACATTTTCTACTGATATGAAGTAAAAATATTATATTGAAAATATTGTATCCATTGCACTATTATGAGTGTTGTCTTGCTTTGGTTTGTTTTACAGAAATATCAACAACTCAATGGGTTATTTAATTCCGACAAAATTTTTATTGCTGGCAGTATTTTTTTTTTCAAAAATGTATTGCTGGTAATAATTTTTTCTTCAAAATTTATTGCTGGTAAAAATTTTTACAAAGTAGTCCTATTATTAAAACCTAGTTTTAAACTTTCATCGTGTTTTGACGACAGTGTGGGTGTTAATTATTTACCCATAGCTGGGGCCCTAACAGGTACTACCAACCAAGATCAAGGTGGACATGGGAACAGCAGCAATTAAGAGCTGCTTCCACGCTCCTCAAAACCTCTTAATCAGGGGCCTTGCTGTTGGGCGTGGTTTATAGACTTATCCAGGACGCGGAGTTAGTTTATCATCTTACCCTGGACGCGAAGGTAGTTTATCGTCTTACCCTGGACACAGAGGTAGTTTATCGTCTTACCCTGAACGCGAAGGTAGTTTATCGTCTTACCCAGGAGGCGAATGTAGTTTATCGTCTTACCCTGGACGTGGAGGTAGTTTATCGTGATACCCTGGACGCGGATGTAGTTTATAGTCTTACACAGGACGCGGAAGTAGTTTATCGTCTTACCCTGGACGCGGAGGTAGTTTATCGTCTTACCTTGGACGCGGGTGTAGTTTATAGTCTTACACAGGACGCGGAAGTAGTTTATCGTCTTACCCTGGACGCGAAGGTAGTTTATCGTCTTACCCTGGACACAGAGGTAGTTGATCGTCTTACCCTGAACGCGAAGGTAGTTTATCGTCTTACCCAGGAGGCGAATGTAGTTTATCGTCTTACCCTGGACGTGGAGGTAGTTTATCGTGATACCCTGGACGCGGATGTAGTTTATCGTCTTACCCTGATCGTGGAGGTAGTTTATCGTCTTACCCTGGACGCGGATGTAGTTCATCGTCTTACCCTGGACGCGGAAGTAGTTTATCGTCTTATCCTGAACGCGGAGGTTGTTTATCGCTTTACCCTGGACGCGGAGGTAGTTTATCGTCATACTGAGGAGATTATGTCTGTCTATCTTAATCTATTTATAACTCTACCATTCGGTCTTTACTTGGAATGCTGCTGCCACATCTAATCAGGTTAGATATTTAAAAATTCTTGATGAAATACAAAGAATCTGAAATGTTATTTGCCCTGACCTTACTTCCCTCACTTTCTCATCGCTCTCATGTAGCTTCCCTCTGACTTTTCTATATAAACTTTCAGGCTAATTCTTCTGGTAAACCTTCATCTATAATACCTAGATTTTATGAATTTAAGTGCAGTACTAGATTGGCAATAAGGTCCCATTAATTTACAGCTGATTTGGCTAGATGTAACCGTAAATTCTATGCTACAAGTTCCTTTTCAAGCGCTACTCGCTTCTGGGACTCTATTACGATACTATGTTTTTTTTTCTGTGAACTTTAATCTACAAGAATTTAAATTTAGTGTCAATCTCTATCTACTGACCTCCTGATTATTCTTCTCTCTTTTTAATCATTATTAATGTCTCTGTATCTAATTCTTCCACACACAGTAACCTCTATGTTCATATAGGTATTTAACCCTCTGCTCTAACCGAACTGACTGAGCCGGTCGGGAACTAATAATATTGGCTCGACTCCAGAATCAATATAAAAATAAGTATCACGTATTTTGACAGCTTTCTAATTAATTATTGATAGCAATAATTTCTCTCTTTTTTTTTATACATTTTCTTTATTTTCCTGGAAAGAGTTTGTTTTTTGGGGTTTTTTTTACACTTAAAAGAAAAAACATTTTTATTTGCTTTTATTTTTCGGAATTTATTCAAACATATTTTCAAAATTTTATTCAGTTTCTGCATTTGTCGCCTGTGCATTTTCGATTCTCTTTTAAAACAGCTGTCGATATATTTTATTAGGATTTTTTAGCTAACAAGTTTAGTGGCTCAGTGAGATGCAGATAACACCCGGCATTACCCATTATTTCTACACTATCTATCTATCTATCTATCTATCTATCTATCTCAGGATGTTCATATCTCTCTCTCTCTCTCTCTCTCTCTCTCTATCTATCTATCTATCTATCACAATCACTTCATATCTATCTATCTATCGATCTATCTCTGGCTGTTCATATCTATTTATTTCAGTCTATTCGTATCTATCTATTACAGGATGTTTATATCTATCTCACTCCTTTCTTATCTATCTATCTATCTATCTATCTCAATCTGTTCATATCTATCTATCCATCTATCTATCACAATCACTTCATATCTATCTATCTATCTATCTATCTATCTATCTATCTTTCTATCTATATATCTCAGGCTGTTCATATCTATTTATTTCAGTCTATTCTAGTTAGAGCAAGGAGAGATGGAGGAAAGGATGAAGTCAAGGATAGATCAAGGAATCTGGAGACGTCGATTGACATTGCATTTGAATAGTTGAAGATTATAGCTATGAGGGAAACAGAAAAAGGGGAGGAAATTCCACAGGAGAGAAGTGCGAGATAGGAAGCTATTGTAGTAGAAGAGAGGGCTACATTTAACAGTTTCGGCAGTGAAAGGGTGAGAGCGAGATGCCAGCCTAGTTGAAAGCTTAAATTCGTGAAGTCTGGAAACCAGCAAAATCAGCTCATCGAAGCAGTTACCATGAAAGTATTTGTAAAAAAAAAGACAGAGGGAGGCGACGGCACGTCTGTGAGAGAGAGCGACTGGAGACGAGATGCCAGATCAGGGCCAATTCTATTGCATATCCGTCTCTGAATTTCATCAAGAACCTTGAGACAAACAGAATAGGTTCTAGACCATATATGGCAGCAAGACTCCATGCAAGGGCAAATGGTTGATTTGTAGATTTGAAGGATCGACTCCGGCGAGAGAAATTTCCTGGCGCGCCACAGGGAGCCAAATTTTCTTGCGGTGGACGAAGCTATTGACTCAATGTATTTGTTCCATCTCAGGTCATCAGACAATGTGACAACGAGTAGTCGCAAAGAGGTACTCTCGTTGAGTTGAGCATCAGGCATTCTAATGTGAGGCAGGGGTTGTTCTCTGTGGTGAGTAATAGAGAGTAGTTTTGTCTTTGAGGCATTAAAATTAACCAGCCAATTCCTGTCCCATTCTATAACCGATTGGAGGTCCTTTTTCGAGACTAACGGCTAGTTTAGTTTTTTTCAGCGATTCCAGACTTGCTATTTAGGCAGTAGTAAATAGCAGTGTCGTCCGCATAGATGCTTACTTGGGATCCTATAACATCAGAAAGGTCTACACAAATCGATTCTCTAAAACCATTAATTTAATTTTGAAACACTGGCCTTATTTTAATCTCAAAGGCTCAGAATCGGATGTAACTTTAGAGCTGACGCTGGCTCTATATAACAAACATACAAATCACATATCAATATATATACATATATATATATATATATATATATATATATATATATATATATATATATATATATATAATACACTAAAAGTTCAAAATTGTGTATAGTCTATTTCAAACTGGCTTAATCTTGTACCAGCCTTCTTCAGCCCTAGACTGACTGTCTCGGAATCGGGTTTTGAATATAATTTAGATAGCAGTCAGGAACTAGGTACAGGCCTACTGAAAGGGATGCCTCGTTTAGGCAAGGAACCTGGGTTAGTGACAAGGAGAGGGCGTGAGGTATCTGTCTAAAAATAGATGGGCCGGAATGGGAGTATATTTATGATCAAAGCCTTTAGTTGTATGTAAATGAATTTATAAGACGCGGATGGTTTTTGGTGATATTTCATGACAAATGCGTCTTATAAGTCGAAAAAATCGTTTTTACTTTAATATCTTACTCTTAAAGAATTTCAGGTACAGCATGGTATTCCTAATAATTTAACCGGTGTGCGTGTATAGGTACATATATGTAGGTGTATGTAAATATGTGCATATGTACGTGTTGTACTGCATGATTTATTCCATTGGATGTTTTGGTATTAGTTACAGATTTTGGAAATCTATTATTTAGATAATTTATTCTAACTTTAAATTGTTTTGTCTTTAAAATTCCCCTTCACTTAATAAAAACCCTTATTGCCAAAATACAATTTATTGTTAATGCTATTAAAACATATATGTTGTTGGTATAGTTCCTACCAGGAGCCCAAATTCATTTACATACAACTAAAGGCTTTGATCACAAATAAACTCCCATTCCGGCCCATCTCTTTTTAGACAGATACCTCACGCTCTCTCCTTATCACTAACCCAGGTTCCTTGCCTAAATGAGGCATCCCTTTCAGTAGGCCTGTACCTAGTTCCTGACTGCTATCTAAATTAAATTCAAAACCCGATTCCGAGACAGTCAGTCTAGGGCTGAAGAAGGCTGGTACAAGATTAAGCCAGTTTGAAATAGACTATACACAATTTTGGACTTTTAGTGTATTATATATATATATATATATATATATATATATATATATATATATATATATACAAACACACAAACGAACAAAAATAATTTCATTCATTTGTGAATAATTCCTGAAAATGTAATTAAAATCAGACAACTTTTTACCACAAAAAAGAAAGGATTAATTAAGCTATAACCAATCACGATAAATGGATGTTACCTCAGGCAGGCCACGTGTTTTTAGCGTCTCTTTGGCCTTACACCCCAGACCTCAAGTGAAACTCTTGCATATGATCCCTGGGTAAAGATTCCTTTAAAAAATGCTCAGTTCCCTGACTCCTCGCTCTATCCTCAACATTTAAAAGAGTCACATCAGGCCTAAAATGGACTACATTTGCTATTGATAGGCAGGAGGTGTCCAGTCCTCACTTTTCAATCTCGACAGATTTCAAAAGTGTCACCGGGTCCTTGAGGGTGACAAATCATTTCTCACCCTACAAACACTTTCTCGCTGATGAGACGTCACAGGATTCTCACTGCTCCCTCGCTATTTCAATAGAAAGTGCTCAGACGAACTACATTCGTTAGTTCCACCAGTTTTACCCTTCATGACTATGACCCGTCATGCTATGCACATTGTAGCGAACCAACTTCATTCACTTCATATTCTATTTGTGATATGTACGTTCTACTCAAGCGGATTCTTCATTCGAACCGCTAATCTGAGGAACCAACTTCCAAGAAGGTGTTTTCCCGATCACTGCAATCTTAATCCGTTCCAGTCCGGGGTTAATCGTTATCTTTCCTTGATGTGAGCATAAACCGTGCCTCTTATTCCGTATTTATATACCTTGAGTGGCTCTCGGGCACTGTAAAAAAACAAAATTCCGAGAAGATGAAACAAGCGTGAATGTGAGAGAGCAAAAAGAAATTTGACTGACATGTGTCATACTGGATTCTGCGGATAATCAGAGAGGAATTAATCATGTCGGACAGGTTCGCAGAGATATAGAATGTGAGTTCGGGTTTAGTCATGATATTTAATTCTGATATATAAGCTAAAGGAAGGAATAAAACAACCAAAAAAAAAAACCAAGTACTTTGAGATAAAATGAAAAGATATACTAGAAAGACCCGTAAAGATTTCACAGTTTTCCTATTTGAATTTACTGATGAATCTTCATTTTCAGTTAGTCATTGAATAAGCTCATGGCAAGTTCTAGAATAAAATATCCGTAGAAATTCCGCTTTCGCATCGTTAAATATTTGAGCTTAACAACTTTAGCAAAATATTGCAACAGCAACCGTAAATATGAGTGCGGGTCGTTATTTTAAGAAGTGGCTACAAATGAAAAGTTTCAAAAGTGAGGTTTTCTATTTCTCTGAGGCAGACGACAAACATGAAACGCGTTATAGCAACCACTTTCTTTAGTTTCTTTTCTTTCTTTCTTTCTTTCTTTTTTTTTCTTTATATCATTGTTTCTTTCTTTTCTTTTTTTTCTTTATTTCTTTCATTCTCTCTTTCTTTATATCTTTTTTTGTTTGTTTGTTTCTTTCTTTCGTTATTTATTTGTTTCTTTCTGTCTCTCTTTCTTTATATTTACTCTTTCTTTCTGCTTATCTCTCTCTTTCTTTTTATCTTTCTTTACGTATATCTCTTTCTTTCTTTCTATCTATCTTTCTTCACCAGTATTTCTTTCTTTCTTTCTTTCTTTACCTGTACTACTTTCTTTCTTTCTTTCTTTCTTTCTTTCTTTCTTTCTTTCTTTCTTTCTTTCTTTCTGTGATTGTTTGTTTCTTTCTTTCTTTCTTTCGTTATTTATTTGTTTCTTTCTGTCTCTCTTTCTTTATATCTTTTTTATTCCTCACGCACTTACTTTTTTCTATCTGTCTTTCTATCTCGCTTTCTTTATATTCCCTCTTTCTTTCTGCCTATCTCTCTCTTTCTTTACCTATGTCTCTTTCTTTCTTTCTATCTATCTATCTTTCTTTCTTTCTTTCTATCTATCTTTCTTCACCAGTATTTCTTTCTTTCTTTCTTTCTTTCTTTCTTTCTTTCTTTCTTTACCTGTACTACTTTCTTTCTTTCTTTACCTGTACTACTTTCTTTCTTTCTTTCTTTCTTTCTTTCTTTTTTTATATATATATATATATATATATATATATATATATATATATATATATATAAAATAGGAAAGAACTCGTTAGGTAAATAATCCAAAGTTCTTTAGTATTTTGTTATTATTTTTAAAAAAATAGTGCTCGATACAAAAGTAGAGCATAAATATAATTAATTATTTAAAAATATGATTCCAACACGCTACATAAGATTTCTCATGTTTCAAAACAAAAGCCAAAAACTTCAATATAATTATTTGAATTAATTTGAATTAAATTGAATTAAAGTACTAAGCTTTGTTCCAACTTCCAAAAAAAATTTCACTTGAAGTTTTCGGCTCTTGTTTTGAAATATGAGAACTCTTATGTAGCTTGTTGGAATCATATTTTTTAAATAAATAATATATATATATATATATATATATATATATATATATATATATATATATATATTTTTATATATATATATATATATATATATATATATATATATATATATATATATTTCTGTCTCTACTTTCTTTCTTTCTTTTCTGTAACTCTTTCTTTCTTTCTGACCACATGTTGAAAGAAAGGAAATTAAACGCTTGTTTCAATTAATTTGCTCAAGGGTGTACGTCGGTAGATTGTTCTGTTGGAACAAAGGAAGCAGAGCCAGGCAAATGGAGGACTAAAGGCAACCATTTTGGGAAGGCCATTGAATGTAATGTATTTTTTACAGTAATATTAACACTGTACAAGTCCATCGGGGCCACTCGAAGTAGAGAGTTACGTTAAGAGATAGTTTATATGGATAGAAGGGGAACAAATCCGTTGATTCAAGACCTGAACAGATTAAGATTGTAGAGACCGGGGAAACATCATATTGGGAGCCTGTTTCACAGGCCAGTGGTTCATAGGAAGAAACTGTTTGAGTTGAACTTACTTCTCGTCCATGGAATACAGAAGGAATGTTTTGCTACTCTGTAAGTGGCATGGCGGGTCCTAGCCGTGAAGGTTAGTTCTGGCGGAACTAAGGAATGTAGTGCGTCGGAGCACTTTCCATTAAAGTAGCGACAGAGCAATGAGAGACTCACCACATCCCGCCTGTGAGAGATAGTTTGGAGGATGGAAAATAATTCTTCACCAACAAAGAAACAAAGACGCTTTTGAAATCTTCCGAGACTGGAATGTGATGACTGGTCAGAGCCTGCCTAAATATGGCAACATTACTCCATTTTCGATCTGATCTGATCTTACAAAATTCGGGGATAGCATAAGGAATGTTTGTTGACCATGTTTGCCGCAGTCTCTGAATATGGAATCCAGTGAAGTCCGTAATCTGTTCAATATCAGAGGTCGGCAGTGAAGATTCAGAGAAAGTAGCGGTTGTTAAGTAATTCTTTAAGTCTTCGATATCAGGCTGGCAGTGCAGACAATCTGGGAGAAAAAAAATGGCTGCCTTTATACACGTCGCATTGAATATTTTGAGCTTTCTGATTGGTTAATCCTTCTATTGGTGAACTATAAAATGAGTCAACTCATTTAGGCTAGCTCACTAGTACATAAAACCCCAAAACCTGCAACAATGGTATCCCCGATAGAATTCTTACTGGAATGGTACAGGGAGCCGAACATTTTATGGTACAAAAGAGTTGCAGTATTAAAAATTATCATTATTTGTTTAATATCTTCTGTCGGAAATTCTGGAATGAACCATCTTAACCTTCATTATTTACATTCAGACTAATACGGTAAACGTTGATTTTTTTTAACACGACGTTTCGACCACTACGCCTTCAAGCATTCTTCAAGTTTCTCTCGATTGCAGATATCTTGTCCAGTTCCAGTCTTGGGTGTAAGGATAAACAACATCCGACAGCAAGGCATCTGGTTTTGAGATTGCAGGTTATGAGGAGCATGTAACCCCCTCTTAATTGATGCTGTTGCCACTTCCACCCTGACCCAGGGTGGTAGCACCTGTTAGGGTTCCTGCTATCGGCAAATAGTGAAATCCCAAGGAAAGACAAAACACCATGAAAGTAGAAAAATTGTTTTTTTTTTAATAGTAAAAATACCAGCAATACATTTTTAAATAAAAAATAATTTGTGACAATGCATATTTATAGTAAAATTTCCAACAATAGATATCTATAGAAACATTAGCAATTTACTTGAAAGGTCTCAAAAATATTGCCATTAAATGAGTCGTATTGCAGAAGAAGCGGAGGAAACTGGCCTCCAAATCAACATCGGGAAGACAGAGGTCATGAGGTTAATGACAGACAACAAGACTCGGTGCAACTACACCAAGAAGACATCAAGGAGGTCGATAAGTTTGTCTACCTGGGAGGGGTAGTCAGTAGAGATGGCGAGGGACATATGAAGATATCAAGTGCCGAATCAAGAAAGCCCGACACGCTTTCAGCACTCTGCAGCCAATCTGGATATCAAAAGCTCTCTCATTTTACAACAAGGTCCGGATCTTCAACACCAACGTCAAGTCGTCGGTCCTGCTTTACGGCTCAGAATCCTGGCGGGTAACCAAGACCAACACTAACAAACTTAAGGACTCAGGAACATCCTCAATATCAGGTGACCGGAAGTCGTCTCCAACGACCAACTGTAGGACAAGACTAGACAAGACCCGTCGAAACAGAAATGGGAATGAATCAGTCACACACTACGTCAGCCTGCTTCTAATGTCACCAGGCAGACCCTTGAGTGGAATACACAAGGGAAGCGAAGTGGATTGACTAAAACAGACCTGGGGCAGGAGTGTTGACGGCAGAGTACATGGGCCGAGCTGAAGTGGATCGCCCGAAACCGCACCCGTTGAAGAGGTGTTGTTGCGACCTATGTTCCCCAAGAAATCAAGAGGCATCTAGACCTACGAGGAGTTGATATGCCATTAAACAAACAAAACAATCGGTTTATTATTTAGTACGAATCAATTATTGTTCGCTAAGAATCCACGGTGAATAAATATTCATTGGACGGTGCTAGTATTACACTCGCAAATGATAACAACACATTCGCGTATCGAGGCTTTAAACCACTAGGCAGTTGTGAGACAATCCGGAGTGTAGGAGCCATAAACCTAATCTTCCTGCTGATGCAACTGCTGCTGTTTGTTAAGATTGACTTCAAGCTCCGTGTCTTCTCTTTTCTGTTACTTGTGATGTGTGTTGTTGAATCCGTTTTCATTTCTCCTTTGTTAATATCTTTTGGAATATTTAATAATAGCACACTCAATTTTTATGTTTTTTAGTAAATTCCATGGCGGACAAATTCCACATCCTCTATCCCGAAAAATAGTAACATTCTTTGAAACTAATTGATTATTATTTCTGTTTGTGTTGACTTCGTAAAATCTTAATAATGTTTTGACACAAAAATTAATTATATGTACATCTTTCTTTTTTCTAGGTAAGTGCTTCTCTTGGATGAAAAATTATTTGCCAGTATCAGTACTCATTCAGTGGTAAGAAAAAACTTTATATTTATAAAATTAAACACATATATACGAGCTGTGATACAGCGAAACAGTCTGTCTGTGCATGAAAATATATATATATATATATATATATTTTAAGACATTCTGTATATAGATACAAATATTTAAGTAAATGCTCTGTTTATAATAAACAGTATTAAACAACATTTACCGGCCTGAATATCCGAGAAATTTTCATAGAAAATATTCGTCCTCCAACCGGATTCAAACCTGTATTCTATACGGAAGCGTCATTTAGCTTAGGTACTGTTATATATATATATATATATATATATATATATTAAGAAATGGACAAGGTCCGACAATTTATTTATTAATATATATATATATATATATATATATATATATATATATATATATATATATATATATATATATATATATATCAACAGTTTTTTCAAACTCTTTCTTGACGTTTTTAGATATATGGTTGTGTGCGTCATTCGCAGACAGTACTGTTTCGCACTATCCGAGATCCTCAGTGTGACTAAACATCCGAATGCCTCAAGCCAGGATCGAAACCCAACCGATTTGGTGGCAGTTTCTACCACTGAGCCATCTTCACTCGACGGAACACATCAGCTAAATCTAGTGTATTGTACAAACTTAAACAAATGCCAAGCAGCCAAAGTGCTCCCTTCATTTTACTGAAGAGGTTCGCGTTTATACAGGTGGCCGTTGTTTTTAGAATCAGCTTGTCATTCAACATAGCTCAATTGAAAATAATATTTTCAAGAGCTAAATTATATATATCGGTACTCCACGAAAAAAAACGATACCTAAGGTTTAAAAGCGAATTAAAAAGAATTTTCTTCACGCTTTTATTTTAATTTTAATTAGATTACATTTGACAACTGCTTTGCTGTATTTCGAAAACTAATTTAAAACCAATTTAAATTTACTGGAAGGAATTTTTTTTGTTTGTTCCTTTGCTAAAATAGCTGATTAGTGCACGTTTTTAGTTGTGTCTCATCGCAATGTTATAAAACAAAACTTCCATAGTAATCATTAAGTCACTTTTGTCCTACCTCTAAGGAAAAATAAAAAGCTAACAAAATTCCAAACGTGCCAGAAAAGATTAAAAGATTTAGTAAAGTAATCAAAAATGTCTTGGTCTTTCTTCTTAATAATGATATTAACATTTTGAACTTAAAACTATGTTTTCATCAAGTTTGGGGCCTTTTTTTGTCATGGTATGCTTTTATTTAGCGACAACGCGGAAGCAGCTACGCACACACACACACACACACACACACACACATATACACATATATATATATATATATATATATATATATATATATATATATATATATAGTTTATGCAAACTTAGGTAATCTGTATGGGTAGACCTGAGGAGGATGATATCCAGAGAGCTCAATTTAAATGGGAATAACCGTTGATAATTGGGTACATAAAAACAATCACGAGTTTACTTAATGAACAAAAATCAAAAACAATCACGAGTTTACTTAATGAACA